AAGACCTCCAAACTTCGTCATCTCTTGCGTAAATAAAGGGAGCTTCTTACCAACTCTGCTTCGCCATAAATTCAACGGAAAACTATCGATCTTAACACTGTAATATGGATAATTACGGTCATCAGAAGGAGAGAAGGCGGTGTTCCTCGCTCAGATTTTATAAGTATAACACTATAATTTTGTAAGTATTTTTTGTAAGTATTTTTTGTATAACACTGTGATTTTGTAAGTATAACACTTACATGAAGTGAAATTCAGGACGAGTCACTAAGAAGCTGCTTTTGGGAAGAAATTACTGAAAATGACGTCAACCAAAAGAGCCAGTTCATATAACCATCACAACGAATGTCTTAATAGAGTTATTGAACAATATTCTTAGCCGTATAGTTGTGAAATGATCTGCTTCGTACTGACAGGGGCCCTCGCTTCGATGAATATGCTAAACCAGTTCATTAATTCCTGCATAATCCCACTCTTTACGTAAACAAGCCCAGTGACCTTCTCCGCCGGTCTTTTTAAAGCCGACCATCGCGCATTACGACGAGCGATAAAAACTGTCATAAAATATCAGTGCCATGAACTCCAACTTCAGTTTCAAACCTGTCAATATTGAATCAAATAGTCTGTTTTGGTTACTCTATTCTGAATGACTATAAAAACACGTTATATAACCCGCTAATCTGCTTGGTCTCAAATCATGAAGCCATCTCCAGAAACAACTTCGTAAATATCTGTGCAATATGTGAAAAGTAAAATCCCTCAGTGATTTCCTCCATCGCCCGCACGTTATGTGGATCGGCGAAGATCAGCTTGCACAACTTATGGAAAAACCTTAATGCCAACTTTTTTCCTTGTTTGTTTCCTTTTGTTGCTGTTGTATTAGTTCAATTTTACACCTAAGTAGTCTTACAGCCGATAGACGCGGTAGAATTATCCGACGCAGTACAAGCTAATAAACTTAATTGATTAATTGATTAACTCTCGATCAGCCATAAGATTAATGCTAAATGATTATGGCAGCAGTCATGGTAAGTAAACATCTACGAGAAATGAATGAAAGCCTCTACTGTCTGAGAAAGCGTAAGGCATGTTCAGTGAGTTTAAGATTCTTCACAGAATTCTTGAATCCACAAAACAATAAGTAGAATAATCTGCAGGCTGAACTTAACACAGATCAGAGTAGCTGCTGCTGGAATGTTTTCAATCGCTATTATTATGAATACAATATTAACCTACGTTGCATCTGTAACGGTATCGAAGGAACTAAATGTCACGTAAAAAATTAAAATTCCTGGCGAAAGATTTCCATAAAAAATAATGCATATTTATTGCGTGCTTTCTTGGTGAACGCTTACACGATTTACCTAGGCTTCTTAAGCAATATGAAAAGTGCTCATATGCATGCTGTGTAGGTGCAGGAAATGTCATTTAGTCTCTACGTGTACCTGTGGATTCCTGACCTCTATTTAAAGAAAGTCAAAAATTACTATTAACAAATTAACATGTGAGGTGGCTGCGTCGAGCTCAGCTCACGCAGAAATCTCAGAGTCAGTCAAGCTTCACAAAGCCGCCCCCTGGAACTCAATTCTACCGGTGTAAATGACAAACGGACGTCATATCCACACGACAGGCAAACGTTAACAATAATAAAAACCATTCGTCATGAAATGGAAAGTACAAACAATATTGGTTCCCAGTCTCTTGCTTACAGTTTGGGTCGTTGAACGGCGAACGGCATCGCACGACAATGGACTTGAGCCGTGACGGACTGGTGCCAAGAGGTTAAAAGGACACAAGCGGAAGACCTACGCTCGGATGGGACGCCGAGCTAAAACAAAGATATGGTGGCCTGTGCCGATAAATCGACGATACAGATGAACGTATGCACTGAGACTTGAAGATGGTGATTCTCTCTTCATCACTAAAATGGATCAGGTACATTGTCTTCAATTATAAATTATTATCTAATTTTTATACTCTACCTCTTCAAATGGATACTTTTCTGATGCCTCGTGAAAGTTTATGCGATAATAATGATACAGCGGATTTGTGAATGAAATCACAATACAGCAAACGAAATATATGGAAGGAGTTTATTCCACTCCAGCTGTCTTCTGTTCCAGACTCCAGTTATTTTCTGCCGAAGCTCAGACTTTGAAACGAAACTGGGAATGTGGGAAACTGTCTGACGTGTCTGCCTCCGCGACCTGTAAGGAGATGCGATCATAAAAATTGAAGTGAGGTATAGCAATGGATTTGTGATTAATCTGCCTGTCATATGTTTTCAGGCGTTTGTCTGTCTGCCTCTATATACGTATATGTACCAACGAACGGAAGGCTCTATTCATCGCTCGACATGTACCCTCAAAGTTGTATGTTCCAGTAAATCGAAAGCTCACGTGTGATTTGACTGCGTTACTTAATCAGTGACAATTACTCAATAATAACCACCACAGACTGATGCTGATAGAAAGTTGATGTTTTAATACAAAAACTTTGCTGAAATTTTCTGCCGTTTCTTGAATAAACGCCCTGCGTTCTTTACGTACATAAGAACCAACTCCGTGTCGCCGAGCGTCGAGCGACGCTGAGGTAGAGCCGGTTGAAAGCGACACTTTCCACATGAACTTTTGTTCAGTGAATGGTATTTACTTAATGCGCAACGTCGTTCCGGATTACGCTGTTTACCGACGAAAGTCAACTAGAAGTATGGGTGGCGACAGGCATGATTGACAGACCGCTACTACCGATGTTATGATGCATGTGTCGAGAAAAAGGTAGCAGGAACGCGCTTCGACTGATTAGTCATTAGGCTTGAGAAGTTAATAACAGTTGAGGATCGAGACGACGAAGAAAGGAGCAGCGAAGCGAGGTGTGGCAAGGCAAGGCGAGACGAGGCAAGGCGAGGCCAAGCCAGGCCGGGCGAGGCGAGGGGCAGCCAGTGCGTTATTCGTAAGAACGGTGGCGACGACGACGACGACGACGACGATGGAGTACGAAAAAACAACAAATCGCAGCCGTAGCAAAATCGCGCATAAAACATACACCAGCAAACACTG